GATATGGACACTTTTATATTTAGTCTTATTATTTTGACACGGGGTGTCATCTGGTCCCCCAGTCCAGAGGTGCAGTGGTTCAATCACAGTCACTGCAGCCTGACTTCCCAGGCTTCAAGCTTTTCCCACTCAGGGCTTCTGAGTTAGCTTGGGACTATGCAATAATTAATTTTTTATAAAAAAATTTTTGTAGAGACCAGGGGTCTCCGCTTATGTTTGCTTTAGGCTTGGGTTTTGAACTCCTGGCCTCAAAGCGAGCTTTCCCTCCTAGTCTTTCCTGAAGTTGCTGGGAATTATTAGGTTGGACCCCTGTGGCCTGGCCTTATATATGACCTTTAGAACATGTAAAGAGGGAGGCTGGGGCACCATGGCTCCACACCTGTAATTTAACACTTTGGGGAAGGTAAGGTTTTCCCCTAAACTGTTTAAAAATTGTAAGAAACTAGGGCCTGGGTGCAGTGACTCATGCCTCGTAATTCCAACACTTTGGGAGGCCAGGGTGGTGGCTGGCTTGGCCAGGAGTTCAAGACCAGGCCTGGGCAACCATGGGCAAAAACCCTGGTCTCTACCAAAAAAAAAAAAAAAAAAGCTGGGCGTGGTGGTGGCATGCCTTTACTCCCAGGCTACCTGGGAGGTTGGCAGCAGGAGGATTCACCTTGAGCCCGGGAGGTTTGAAAAGGTGGACAGGAAGCTATGGACTAAGGCCCAGTGCACCTCCAACCTGGGCCACAGATTAACACCCAGTGTCTCAAAAATAGTAATAATTATAATTATTACAATAATCAACATGTATAGAAATACAATTTTTTGTTTAATCAGAAAGTTGACAAAAGACGCCAGTGTACCAGGTAGCAGCCCATCACCTGAGTGTCCCATCCACCTGTCCTGCCCCGGTCAGCATTCCCAACACCCTGCCTGCACCCTCCCCTGGGCACCGGAACCCCAGTGTGGCCACAGGAGTGGGGGTGACTTGGCACAGCCAGGATAGTGATTGTCCAGGCAGGCACGGCATGGCCAGGACCCCCCAGGCTACCGGGGGTGTGATGGTGGCTTGGGCACGCCGAGGCCCTCCTTGAAGGAGCAGGGACCCGAGATGGGCCCAGGGTGGGGGTGCTCTGGACCTCCCCAAGCCCACCCTGGCTGAAGCGGGGTCTGTAGTCCCCTGCAGCAGCTTGCTGCGGCACCCACCTGTGAGCACGTAGTCATATTTATTCACGTTGTTCAGCTTCAGGCCTTCGTACAACTCCTGCAGCTCATCTGAATTCAGCACTTGGCCCTTCCAGTGAGCATAGCCTAAAGGCAGAGGAAACCATGGGGGCTCAGACACAAGGGGGCCAGCCGTGCGGTCGTGGACCTCAACACCCGCCCACTCTCCCTGAGGCTGCCTGGTGGACGGCTCCTCCCCATGGACTGGCACAAGGCCAGCAGGAGATCACCAGGCACAGTGCTTGGCAGGTCCCGACAGCTGTCCAGACCGGACACCTCAAGCCCCCGTGAGCCCCCTGACCCTACACTGTCAGGGATTGTTACTACGGCCTCAGTGGCCCCCACCCTCCCACTGCCAGTTCCTGTGGGAGCTGCGTCCCAGGTACAGGCGGGGTGTGCGGAGACACACACCAGCTCACGGCTGTGTTGTTCCCCCACTGCTGTCCAGAATGCCCCGGCTACAATCTCCCCACAACGCCACAGCCTCTTGTTTCCCAGAGTCTCCTGCATGAGCTCCCAGCTATTCAGGCCGGGGTGCTCGGCCACCGGCCACTGTCACCCGGACACCCTGGCAGGTAAGGCTTGTTACGTCCCCACCCCAACAAGCTTATTAAGGAGCAATTAGAGCCAATCTTAGATCAACTCCTGAGCAAGAGACAAATGTGAATGAGAAAGAGGCCTCAGCCCAGGTGTATACAACCTGCCCTTGGCCCGATGGGTAGCCAGGGTGAAGTGTCCACCCCAGGCAGACAGGCAAATAAAGGTGTGAGGACAGATGCATCGGCTTCCTGCAGGCGGGACCACCAGTCCCCTGGGAGCCCTTCCTGCACTGTGGGACCCAACCACAGCTCCAGCTCAAAGCATGCTCAGGGGGCAGCCATCCACACAGGGTGGGGTCCACCATGGATACCCCACATTTGCCCATGAGAAACGCCTCACATTGAGGGGCTCCTGGCCTCCTCCCACGTGCATCATCCTCTAACGCATGCCTTTTTCAGCAAATAAGGAAAACTCTGACGTATGGATTCCTACAACAGCAAAGTCCAAGTATCACGCACTGGTAGGTCACGGCCAGCCAGCTCTGAGCCCATGCGCCATGCTCTGTGGCTAAGATCCCCTGAATTCCCACACCAGAGGACGGCTCCATGGCTCCTGCCCCTGAGGGCCCTCCTGCGTACTAGTCACTGGCTCCCACTGGCAGGGACGCCTTTGGCTTTCCCCAGGAGCCGTCGTACGGGAGCACATGTGGCACAAAAGTACTGAGACTGCCATCAGAAGCAATGCTCCAGGCACGGTGTGGCGTCTGGGGTGTGCATCTGGGGGCGCCTGCCCTGTGCTCTGCCCGGGACACCAGAGTAGACGCACTGAGGGGTGGGTCTGCCAGAGACCAAGCCCCTGATAGACTCTGGGTTAACAGTCACTGAGGGTCAGGAGGGGCAGGGGGTATCCACCGTGGGCAAGGTCAGTGCCTCACACAGCAGCCTGCCCCTCTGGTACAGGGTGTGTCCTGGGGAGGCTTCTGCCAGGCCGGGGCGGGGTTTGGGATGAGGGGTAGGAAGAGGGAGGCGAGCAATGGTCCCTCCTAGTCCTTTCTGCCCTCGGATTCTGAGTATCTTTCCAAGCAGGATGGGACTCACCACCGCTGCACATGTGCTCCTTTCCTGGGGAGGTGACATGACCTGGCTGTGTCCCCACCCAAATCTCATCTTGAATTGTAGTTCCCATAATCCCCACATGTTGTGGGCGGGACCTGGCAGGAGGTCATTCAACCATGGGGGCGGTTCCCCCATCCCGTTCTCGTGATAGGGACTGAATTCTCACAAAAGCTGATGGTTTTAAGGGGCTTTGAAAACCCTGGGCCCCTCACTCTGCACTTCTTCTTTCTGCTGCCATGTGAAGAAGGACGTGTTTGCTTCCACTTCTGCCATGACTGTAAGTTTCCTGAGGCCTCCCCAGCCTTGCTGAACTGTGAGTCCATTAAACTTTTTTCCTTTATAAATAACCCAGTCTCAGGTACACCTTTATTAGTGTTGGGGACCAGCCTCAATACCACCCGTAGGGTACCCAAAGTCCAGTGGTGACAAAGGAATGAGAAGAGACAGGTTAAGAGTTCATAAAGGTGGGGCCAGGCACAGTGGCTCACGCCTGTAATTCCAGCACTTTGGGAGGCCGAGGCGGGCGGTTCATGAGGTCAAGAGATTGAGACCATCCTGGCTAACACGGTGAAACCCTGTCTCTACTAAAAATACAAAAAATTAGCCAGACGTGGTGGTGGGCGCCTGTAGTCCCAGCTACTCGGGAGGCTGAGGCAGGAGAACGGCATGAACCTGGTGGGTGGAGCTTGCAGTGAGCGGAGATCACGCCACTGCACTCCAGCCTGGGAAACAAAACGAGACTCCGTCTCAAAAAAAAAAAAAAAGAAAGGAAGAGTTCATAAAGGTGGGAGCCAGGGGGCCAGTTGCAAAATGGAGGCTGCGAAAGGCACCGAGGTCTGGTGTCCACACTATTTATTGAGTACAATCACTTAGATCTAAGAAGCAGACGTTCAGGGCGAAACGGTGAAAGGGAGGCAGTATGTCACAGGCGTAATCTATAGCAATAGCGGTTTAAAGGAATCTCCTTTGTGCTCAAACAGCCTATCTTTAACTTATCAGAGAGTTAGTGGGAGTGGCTTAACCAGCAGCCTGCACGTCTGTCCACATTCCAGCGCCTTCTCCTTGAACACCATGTTTACAGATAAGAGAGCGGGTCTCGCTCTGAGCATGGGAACATGATGGCAACTAGGAGGCTTTCCTCCTCAGAGGCCTCTTGTAGCTTTCCACAACTTATTGTCCCATATTTTTATGGCCAGTTTATACAGGTGTCCCACAAGCCCTTTTCCCAACAATTAGCAGTGTGAGAATGGACTAATACAGGGTGGCATCGGGAAGGGCTGCAACCAGGTGGCTTCAATTCTCCTACTGTCCTGAGCACTGGGTCCAAGGTCAAGGCGTCTCCAAGGCTGGTTCCCGAGGCCTCTCCCCAGGGCTTGCAGACAGCGTCAACTTCCCGTGTCCTCATGGCGCTGTCCCTCTGTGTGTGTCTGTGTCCTCATCTCGTCTTCTTACAAGGACCAATCAGCTTGGATCAGGGCCCACCCAGAGCCCTGATGGCCTCTTTTAACCTGATGACCTCTGTAGGGGCTCCATCTCCAAATCGAGTCCCACTCTGAGGTGCTGGGGTTAAGGCTGCAACATGAGAATTTGGGGGGACGTACTTCGGCCACAACAGCCACGAGGAAGGGGAGACGTCCAGCACTTGGCCGGGTCTCAGACACAGGCCCCAGGCTCCTCTGAGGCCCAGCTTCCTCTCGAAACATGGCGCATGGTCTTGCACCTCTCGGTGGCCTCCTGCCCACTGCGGGAGGTGGGATGAGCCCAGAGCCCACAAGAACCTTCTCAAACAGGGGACGGCACTTGGATCTTGTGTAGAACTCATTCCATTTACAGATGAAAAAACAGCGGCCAAACAAGCAGCTCCTTGGGCAGCCCAAGGAACCTGGCGCTCCTGTCGGACCCCAGCCGGCCAGGGAGTCTGGGCCGTGCCTGGCCCCTCGCCGGTGTCCATCGGCAGGTTCCTGGCCCTGGCCTTCTCCAGTCCTGCAGCTCCTTGTGTTCACACCAGCTGCCCCTTCCCTGCAGCAGGGACCACCAAGCCCAGCAGCAGGTCACCTGTCCCACCCGCTCCGGCTCCACACTCCAAAAGCCAGGACAGCGCAACCCGTCCACCTGCTGACCTCCAGCTCCGCAGGCTCCTTCCCAATGCCCTCAGGCCAGAAAGCTCAGACAGGAAGCTTCAGGAAATCCTCTCAAAGGGGCCATTGGGCATGCTGGCCTCAAGGCAGAGGCTCTGCCAAGCCTGGCTGCCCTGGGCTTGGGAGGCACAGCTCAGAGTGTGGAAAAATGAATGGGGGTGTAGTGTGGCCTAAAGGAACAGGGGCCTAGTCAGGGGAAGGTGCAGAAGTGCGAGCAGCAGCCCCGAGGCGGCGAGGTCTGCACCAGGTGGGCTCTGCAGGCACTTGGGGGCTCGGCTTTCCCACCCTTCCTTCCGCCTAACGGGCATCACGGAACCAATGACGCAGCTTATGTGGAACACTCGTGTCCCCGCCGGGAGTCTGGCTTTGTGGTCCATCCCAGGCAGAAGCTGCCCACGTGACCACCCCAGTAACAACCCTGGGCAGGAGGGGGGCGTGGTGGCGCACACCTGTAGTCCCAGCCACTCGGGAGGTAGAGGCAAAAAGATCGCTTCAGCCCAGGAGGTCAAGGCTGTGGTGAGCTGGCTGCACCACTGCACGTCAGCCTGGATGACAGAGACCTTGTCTCTACAAAAGAAAAAAGAAAAGACTGGGCGCGGAGTCTCACGCCTGTAATCCCAGTACCTTGGGAGGCTGAGGGGGCAGGATCGCTTGAGCCCAGGGAGTGCGAGACCACCCTGAGCAACATAGTGAGACTCTGTCTCTATGACAAATAGGAGAATTAGCTGGGTGTGGTGGTGCACACCTGTAGAGACCCAGCCACTTACGAGGGTGAGGTGGGAGGATCTCTTGAGCTCAGGAAGTCAAGGCTGCAGTGAGCCACGATCGCATGACTGCACTCTAGCCTGGATGACACAGCGAGACCTTGTCTCACAAAAAAAAAAAAAAAAAGATTACCAACAATCTAGCTAGTAATAAAATAGAACAATTACAACAGTATATTGTAATAAAATACCCTGGGCAGAGTCGCGAATGAGCTCCCTGGCAGCATCACCCCAGCTCCCTGCCAAATGAACTGCAGCCTGTGTGACCCCATCTCCAACTCCTAGGCGCGCACTGGAGAACTGAAAACATGTCTCCCCCCAAAACGTCTAGACACACGTTCACGGCAGCAAGTTTTGCAACAGCCACAAAGTGGAAAGAGCCCGAGTGTCCACAGGGCTGCCTGTGGCTGAGCTCACGTGGCCGGTCACACAGGGCGTGAGCTGCGTCCTGGGCACGCACGATGGGCCACGTGGCAGGAGGAACAGGAAACAACGCGGCCCCCCAGATAGCCCGGGGAGTGCAGCCCTGGAGCCAGGGTGCCCGGAGCAGAACAGCCCCTACGATGCGTGAGGCCCGTGGCGCGTGCAGAAGTCTTTCTTTGTGCATGATCAGGCCTAGTAAAATGCTTCCTGGAGGTGAGTTTGCTGAGACATAAGCACCTCTAGCCATTAGACAGAGGGTGGGGGGAACAAAAAGGAAAAACAACAACAAAAAAACTCAAAAAACAAAGAGCGCCTCCAGCTCCGTCGAGGTCTGTGGAACAGACAGTGTCATCATGAGCACTGCACTCACAGTGGGCAGCACGGGAGCCCAGAGGGGCTGGGGGGCTGCGTGGAGGAGGCCGAGTCCCCTGTCCTACCACCAGCTCCCGTGGCACCCAGGGCAGGTGCACGACGCACCAGCCTCACTCCCCAGCAGCACAGCGTGGCAAGGGCGAGGGAAGGGGAGCAGGCAGAAGGGCCCCAGTGCAGGGGAGAGTGACGCCTGCCCTCCCTCCCTAGGGAGTTGCCCCTGAGCCACAGAGACAGCATTAGGGAAGCTACGCGGGGGCCTCCTGATCAGGCCGCACAGACAGCTGACCCCGAGAGTGTAGGTACAGGGTGCCGGGAGCCAGCCCACAGCCACAGATGGAGCTGGCCAAGGGGTCCTAAACCAGCAGGCCCCCCATGGCATCTGGAGGAGGCTGGAGCGGGGGCTCCCAGGAACCACAGGCCGGACCCTGTGGGACGCCCCCAGGCCGTTCATCTGGTTCTGCAACTGTGGAGGCTCCCAAGCACCTGGGGTCCTGTCCTCATCCCAGCCCTCTGACGGCAGGCCAGAGACCCCTTGTGTGTCTCGGGACCCTCGGGTCAGCCAGCCCACCTCCCACTAAGAAGCTTCCACCAAGCCTGGAAGGCAACACCAAAGCCCAGGGCGCTCCCCGCATCCTGGAATCCACGCAAGGGCAGCGGGGTCTGTGAGGATGTTGACCCAGCACATGCGGAGCACAGCATGGTCCCCAGAAACACACCCAACACCCTGCTTCCGTGTCCAAGCCAGCCAGCTCACTCGCTGAAAAACAAACCCTAAAGGAGGGCGGCGAGAGCAGCCAGGAAGAACATGTGGGTTCAGGGAGGCTCCTGGAGGGCCTGAGTCTTCGGGGACGTCTCCAAATCTCACAGCACCCAGTGTGCCCAGCAAGCAAAGGCAGGAAGGGGTTCCAGCGAGAGCTGGAGCCTGTCCGTCTGCACCACCAAGAGCTGGAGTCTGTCTGTCTGCACTGGCCAAGAAACCCTTTCCTCTCACTTAGCACGTGTCACGCCTGCCTCAAGAGAAACCACAGCACTTCTTCCTGCTCCCAAAGGTAGGGGCCAGGCCCTCCCACATATCCCATTGATGCTCTGCCAGGCTGTTTCTGGGACGTTCTGTGCTCCCAAGGTTCCGCCTGGGTTCAGAGAAATTTCAGGGGAAGCGAGGTGGGGTTTCAAAGAACAGAACAGCTTTGTTCTCCTGCCGACGAAGCCGTATAGGCACCACAGAGAGGCGGGAGGACTCCACGCACCTTCACCTCCAGGCCATAGGGCCGGGGGCATGGAAAGCATGGCCTGTGAGGGGCTTCTGAGGCCGGCCACCCTCAGTCCCCTGAGCCAGCAAACTCCTCAGCATCCCAGTGCGTGGAGACAGATGCACACACAGGCCCCGCAGCACTGCTGTTAACAGAGAAAACCCAGAACCACCTACACGTCCCCCAGCACAACCACCCCACGGGGCACCCTCCTCAGCTCCAGGAGGCAGGAACAGGCACCGCGCAGGCAGGCGACAGCAGGAGTCACACGGCTGTGCTCTGGGCCAGGCCTTGGTCCAAGCACTTTATGCAATTTACCTATTCAACTCTGGCAACCTCACGGCAGCTGTTAGGATTGCCCTCCTGTTTTACAGAGAAGGAAACTGAAGAGAAGGTTCTGCCACCGGCACTGGGTCACACGGCCCCAAAGCAGCTAAACTGAGTCAACACATCCCCACTCAGAGGTGAGGCCACCCAGGCCTACGCCCTCGTGCTGTGCAGGCTCTGGCCCAGTGATGCCTGGGACTCCAGGTCGCTGTCCACATGAAAGCCCCATGCCTCACACCCACACTCCGCCCGCCCCTCACTCCCACACTCCGCCCCGCGCCTCACTCCCACACTCCGCCCCGCCCCTCACACCCACACTCCGCCCCGCCCCTCACACCCACACTCTGCTCTGTGCCAGCTGCTGGAGCCAACACCTTACCTGTGTGGTTTGAAAACTGGACAGAGTTTACCGCGTCGATCTCAAATCCCAAAACCTGCAACACAGAGAAGGAACAGGTAGGCATAAGAGAGCCAGGTCTGGGGTTCCACGAACCCCAGCAGGCACTGACTCAGAAGAGGGGAGTAAATGAGCCCCGGACGGCATGGGACCCCCAGGTGCAGGCCGGCGGGCCGACGTGTCAGAGCAGGAGGCTCTCCCCAAGTCACAGGTGACACTGGCACGTCCAGGGCCTCGAATGTCTGGAGCTGGGTTTTCCCCTCTGGGGAGCAACCAGCCCGGGAGGGCATCGCCCGGCCCACAGCACCTCCATGGAGAAGCACTTCATGCATCATTCCAGAAATCGCACCCAACAAAAGCCCTCAATAAGACTAATAAACTAAACAATAAAACGAAGACAATACCCGTCTGTCCAGACACTGAACAGAGGCTGCGAGGCTGTCTCTGCTGCGAAAACGTGGGCGTCTACCCCACCCCTTGGAGGAAGCCAGGCCAAGGGCCCCGTGGGCAGCACACATGGCTAAAAAGCCTGAGTGAGAGACAGGGAGTGGGTGCGTGAGGACAGAGAGGGAGGGAAAGGGTGAGGGTTCCAGACAGATGGAGAGGGAGGACAGAACCCACGGAGCAGTGGCCTCCTTCCCATATCTCCAGGGGCCAAGCCCGGCCTCCACTAGTTTGGGGGGCCATCCCCACCCTCTCCCGTGCACCAGGAATGCCCCAAACCCTCTCTTCCTACTGCATCTGGACAGCCAACCACCCTTGAGTTCCACCTTCACGTTCAAAGCCAGTGTGTCAGCACTAGGAGAGCGGCTGTTTCCAGGGAGGGGCTTCTGGGGCTTCTCAAATTTGTTTCTTCACTGGGTGGGGTTTGCTTTGTGATAATGAGTTGAGCTATCTGCTTAGGATCTGTATTCACCAAGGTCTTTCTCTGAAGTTGGCATTATCACTAAACTAAGGAAACACGTTAACAGTCTTAGTAATCTAAAAAGTTAAAATTAGCACTTTGCGGCCAGGCGCAGTGGCTCATGCCTGTAATCCTAGCACTTTAGGAGGCTGAGGTAGGAGTACAGCTTGAGGTCAGGAGTTCAAGACCAGCCTGGGCAACGTGGCAAAAACCCTGTCTCTAAAAAAAATAGAGAAATTAGCCGGGCGTGGTGGCACATGCCTGCAGTCCCAGCTACTCGGGAGGCTGAGGTGGGAGGATCACTGAGCCCAGGAGGTGGAGGCTGCAGTGAGCCATGATGGCACCACTGCACTCTAGCCTGGGTAACAGAGTGAGGCCCTATCTCAAAAAACATAAAAATAAACATAAAAAATAAAATTGGCACTTTGCAAATGCACTAGCCCAAATCCACAGCCTCTATATACAGGTGGCTTGCAGTATTTCCAATCCTTTAAAATTCTAACCGACTGTGAAGAAACAGATATCAAGCAACGATGACACAAATCCTGAAAATCCTGCCAAAATATTCTGCTCCACTGCTTCTGGGTGTGTAGATAATTAATCCTTTGGGGCTGGCAAACGTATCCGAGAACGAAGTCGCTATTTTCTGCTTTTAAATGAGAGCACGAGCGAGCTGAGCCTTTGGGCTGGCATCTCCACTTCACACACCCCATCAAAATCAGCCTATTCATCAGCATTGCAAGCTGGTCTGGATGCTTCCAGAGTCTACCCATCCAACTTCATGTGCAAGACAAAGCCAGACTCAGAAGACGACAATGCATGGCGGGGCGGGGTGCCGAGGTCCAGGACAGGAGCCTGGGACCCCAGAGAAAGGGGTCTCCCGCTGTTACACTCGTCCTTCAGCTGGAACCCATCCCTCTGTGCCGGACCGTGCCTCTGGAACTGGCATCTCTGTACAGCAGTGGCGCCCTCCCAGGCACCGCCAGGAGGTACCAAGAGTGTGAAACTGAAGCCTGCGAAGAGAATAGGCTTCTGCCAGCGGCACTCTTCTTCCCCGGGGGCTCTTCTCCCCGCAGGGGCAGCGGTAGTGACCGTCCCTTCCCATAGCAGCAGCAGAATCCGCTTTAGGGCTTTCCCACCACTGGCAGAATTCCTCATCACATGCCCCCACAGAACGCCAGCACCCGCCAGCTGGCAGATACCCGCCTTCCCAGCTCCAAGTTCTAAAGAGCCCAGCAATTCTCTCGTATCCCAGGGTCAGCTGCGTGGAGCCGATGCTGGCAGGGTCTCCTCCACGACACCTGTGTTCCCTTTTTGCCTTCTCTGTTTTCTCAATACCTGGCTGAACAACAGCCTCCACAATTGTTGCTCTGGTTTCTGTTTCTGGACTGGACCCAGCCTGATACACCTCATCTTTCCCCACCCCCCAGGGAGCTAAGGACAGACTGGTTCTTGGCCCAAGGTTCAGCACAGCAGGCAGCTGGGCTCTCCACAACGCTCCCCTCCCGCCCGGAGCGTGGGCCCCAGTTCCGTCTCCTCCACAGACATCACAGGAAGCGCCTTCAACAGGGACAGGCCGGTGCCCTGTGAGCAGCCCTGCCGACTGATGGGACCAGCTTGGGATCCCCGTTAGGGACAGCATCGCTGGTCTGTGTATGTGAATCACCTTATTTTACAGTAAACCCTGTCCCTACAAAGGCCTATGGGGCTCTTCGGTGTCAGAATTCTAATAATGACCTTCAGGGGCCCTGCTCACCCTCAGGCAACCCCCTGAGTGTAGGTGAAACCTGTCAGTGTAATGAGATCTCTCTTCCATGAGGATCTTCTTATCCAGGAGAGTCTAAGTGAATGACATGAGCCCTTCAAAAGCAGGGTTTTCTCAGGCTGATGGGCAGAAGGAAAGATCAGAGACTGGAAGTTAAAGAAGGACTCAACGACTGTTGCTGGCTTTGAAGATGGATTGGGTCACGTGATTGCCAGATGCATGAGTGTAGGTCAGCTTTACATATACTCATTATTAAAAACAGTCATGTGGGCCGGGCGCGGTGGCTCAAGCCTGTAATCCCAGCACTTTGGGAGGCCGAGACAGGCGGATCACGAGGTCAGGAGATCGAGACCATCCTGGCTAACACGGTGAAACCCCCTCTCTACCAAAAAAATACAAAAAATTAGCCGGGCGAGGTGGCGGGCACCTGTAGTCCCAGCTACTCAGAAGGCTGAGCCAGGAGAATGGCCTAAACCCGGGAGGCGGAGCTTGTGATGAGCTGAGATCTGGCCACTGCACTCCAGCCTGGGCGACAGAGCGAGACTCCGTCTCAAAAACAAAAAAAAAAACAAAAAAAAAAACAGTCATGTGGCCAGGCACAGTGGCTCACACCTGTGATTGCAGCACTTTGAGAGGCCGAGGCTAGATGATTGATCACTTAAGGCCAGGAGTTCAAGACTAGCCTGAGCAACATAGCATGATTCCATCTCTATTTAAAAAAAAATTGAGTCATAAAACCTACAATTATGTAAATTATATTATTATTTTTTGAGACAGGGTCTCGCTCTGTCACCCAGGCTGGAGTGCAGTGGCACAGTCATAGCTCACTACAGCCTTGAATTCCTGGGATCAAGGGATCCACTATCTTCAGCCTCCTGAGTAGCTAGGACTACAGGTGCGTGCTGCCACACCTGGCTCATTTTTATATTTTTTTGTTGAGACAGAGTCTCACTATGTTGCCCAGGCTGGTCCTGAACTCCTAAGCTCAATTAATTATCCTCCCTTGGCTTCCCAAAGTGCTGGGACTACAGGTACCAGCCACTGCACCCAGACTACATAAATTATATTAAAAGCAAACTTAATATGCTAGCCTCACTACTTCCTAGTTTACTAGCAATTTACCCCATCTGTTGTCTACTGAGCTCTTGGTGTCTATTGAGTCTACAGTGAGGAACACTACATGATGGCGGCTGCTGTGCAGCTCTTTCCTAAGCAGGCTGGTAGCTTACCTTCAGCCATAGCGGCAGTGTTCACACCACAGAGTTTGGCAATACATACTCTAAATCAGACACGAGGGCTGGGGACGGTGGCCCACACCTGTAATCCCAGCAGAACATACTCTAAATCAGACATGAAGGCCGGGCTCACGCCTGTAATCCCAGCAGAACATACTCTAAATCAGACATGAGGGCCGGGCTCACGCCTGTAATCCCAGCAGAACATACTCTAAATCAGATATGAGGGCCGGGCACGGTGGCTCACGCCTGTAATCCCAGCACTTTGGGAGGCTGAGGCAGGTGGATCACCTGAGGTCAGGAGTTCGAGACCAGCCTGGCCAACATGGCAAAACCCCATCTCTACTAAAAATACAAAAATTAGCTGGGCATGGTGGTGCATGCCTGTAATCCCAGCTACTCAGGAGGCTGAGGCAGGAGAATCGCTTGAACCTGGGAGGCGGAGGTTACGGTGAGCTGAGATCACACCACTGCACTCCGGCCTGGGTGACAGAGAGAGACTCCATCTCAAAAAAAATTCAAATCAAATCAAATCACTCAGTCAGGTAAGAGCAAGACTCTCTGATGTCCATACCTGCTGTGAGGGTCCACTGAGGCCTGTGGACTACCGCGTCATCCCCCTTCCTGGGATGGTCTTATCAGACCACCGTGCTACTGTTTTTGTTTTTGTTTTGCTGTTTTTTTTTTTTTTTAGACAAGATCTCACTCTGCTGCCCAGGCTGGAGTCCAGTGGTACAATCTCAGCTCGCTGCAACCTCTGCCTCCTGGGCTCAAGAGATTCTCCTGCCTCCCGAGTAGCTGGGACTACAGGCATGTTTCACCACGCCTGGCTAATTTATTTTTTATTTTTTGTAGAGATGGGGTCTCACTATATTGCCCAGGCTGGTCTTGAACTCCTGGGCTCAAGCGATCCTCCCACCTCAGTCTCCCAAAGTCCTGCGATTACAAGGCGTGAGCCATCATGTCTGGCCTGTGCTACGGTTCTGCTCCGAGCTCCCCTCAATGTGCATTCCCCAGCCCCGCCTCCAGATGTACCCCTCTAAACACAGCCCTTGAGGGTCTGCTGTGTCCACAGGATGAAGCCCAGACCCCCGAAGCGTCCCACTCCCACAGCTGATGCCCCTGGCTGCTGG